GCGTTGGATCTAAAAAGTCAGCAACATTTTTTGGCAACAAATGCTGCACAACCAAAGAATTGGGAAATGAAGATGATTTTATAGCATGGCTCGACTTCCTATAACTAGTTCCAATGATGCATTTATAAATCTGTAGTAATCTCCCATTTGAATTCGAAATGTTGCTTTGGATCTAAAAAGTCAGCCACATTTTTTGGCAGCAAATGCTGCAAAACAAAAGACTTAGGAAATGAACTTGTTACTAAATAATGACATAACAGTTCTGCTACCAGCGTTTGCTGATATTTAAATAAATGCAAATAAATATATACATAAATAGAGGTAAAGCAATGCTAAGCACCTATCTTGTCATAAATAAATTAAGTTTGTTTTTAGAAGACACACACATTGAGGAACTCATAACGGTTGTTGACCCATTGCCACACGTTTTTTGTTATGCTAACAAATGCAGAACAATACAGGTGAGGTGTCTATGTGTGGTGGCCATAAATCGCTGGTCCATTGTAGTGAAATTCCTGACATGCCCGCAATTAATACGCGTCAACGGCAATTCCAGCCACAAATCGTTCTTTTCTTTTTAAAACTAAAATAATGCTAAGCGAGCCTAGTTTTCACGCTTCAGCTGCCGAGCGGTCCAGCTCCGGGTTGGCCACATCAATTGCGTGAACATAACAAATTAACGCCCCAACCTGCATCGAGGTTAAGTAGCTGCGAGGGTGCCCAGACGGCCGGACAGCCTATCTTTCGGAGAAAGTTTATCGATGCGCAACGGTCGTAATTGACTAGATTTGGTAGTTGTAGTTGCTGCCAGCAGCAGTAGCAGCCGCAGTCGCTGTGGAAGCCGCAGTTACAGCCACTAAGCGCACTCATAAACAACGTTTTCAGTTTTAGTTTCAGTTTTGGTCTTGGCTTTGGTCTGGGCTTTATGTTTTGGTTATAGCCGGCGGCTGCAACACTGCATAATTAGCGCTGCGAAAGCGCGCAAAACAACTCAAAGAATTTCTAAATTAAGCGTAAACGCAAGCCATAGCGGACATCGAGGCGTGCACAGTTGTGCAAAACAACAAAATTTATTGGGCAACAACAAGTTGGCAGTTACTGCTACTGCATAATAACGCGACCGCATAAAATATGGCTGTAAATTGCAGGCCAGCTGTTGTTGCTGCCACTTTCCTATTGATGCGAAGTGAGGCCGACTAAATGGACACAATTAACCTGTATCTGTTTTCACCGGCAACGGCAACGACAGCGGCCATAGGAGGAGGGCGGATGAAGCGGTGGCTGGCATCATAGGTTCCGCTTGTCAATCAAATAGACACCAAGTACGCGTTGTTAAGCTACGCTTGTGTCTGTATCTGTGTGTGTGTTGTGTGTGTGTTGTGTGTGTTTGGTTTTAATTAAAAAGTTTCTGTAAGAAAATGGTAGCATCCACAGTTGCCAGTTTTAATTATGGCGTTTTAGTTTAGTTGGCTTCGCTTCGTAGAGGCACTAGGAGTACGATACGAGTACGAGTACGAGAGCGCGTATGTGGCAAGCTCACGTTGCAACCGCTGCAGTTTGCATAAGAAATGAGACAATTTTGATGGGCTCCCCATTGAAACACGAGCGCGGGCTGCAACCGCGAACTGGGGATTGGGGATTGGGGACTGCAGACTGACAGCATGTCGTCGACTTCAACTACTACTCGAATGCTGCGGCATTTCACACTCTTGCTACTCGCATGTGTGAGTACAAATTGGGCTGCATATCATGTGGGCTGCCCACGCAAACTTGCTACCAAGTTGACATCGACTGCAAATGCCATTTAACCCATAAAGCTGATTCAAATCGCTATCGGCTATGGCTGTGCACACATTAATTGGCACGTCAGGCAATTAGAAATCGCTGATAATTGTGTACAATGCGCATTTGCATGCCTCGATTTGCAATAATACCATAAAATATGTATACCATATAATAGTACGTTTACTTGCTGCCCACATGCGGCTGCATGCAGACTCAGACCCAGATCCAGACTCGGACTCGGAGTCGGACTCGTAAAATTGAGTTCGAGTCAGGCCGATGTATGCTGGCATGTAGTTGCGGTTGTCAATAAGGTGTTTGCTCTGCTCGCCGCTGTACGCTAAAATATATGGCGAGCTGGCGGCCCACACATGAGCTGGCCATGTCAATTGCTTGGCTAACAAGCCATTGTTGACACATTGCAAACAAGCAAAGGACCCAAGCAGCAGGCTTCATGTTGTTGCACATGTCACAGCATTTTGTGGCAGTTGCGTTTGCATTTGTGGGTGTCTGTTTTTTCTTCCTCTGTCTTTTGTTTTTAGTTCGCAATTTAATTGGACTACGATATGGAGAAAGCTGGAGTGGATGAGTCAAGTCCACGATAATCAAATTGCTATGTGCCGCATTTTATGGCCAGACACTTACATAGTGCTTCATGACTACTACTTTTTATTGCCTGTTAAAGTTGTGACGTGCTCATGGGCATATTTTGTTATGACTTTATTTGAGCTTGCTTGCGCTACTGGACGCTGGCCGTTGGCTGCTGTCTGGTGGCAGCTGGCAATTGGCGACTGGCGACTGGCATTGAGCGCTGGTGAAAGTGCGATTAAAAACTTAACACATCAAAATAAATCAAATAAAGTACGCTATCGTTGAGCGTAATGTGTTGCATGGCATTATGAATGCCATTAACAAGTTGTGTGGTAATATACATAAATTTCATCAAGTTTGTTGCTTAAGTCATACGTTTGCGACGCACTCAGCATGCGATTACAAACAATCTTGAAATATAAGAAAAAGTGTCGTCATTATATTTCATTCTTTTGCTTAGGCGAGCGATCTGCTGTCTGGCATATCAAAACAGTTTGGAATTTTATATTTTTTATTGTAATATTTTTATTTGAACTTGGCGCTTTTTTTTTCTTGTGGCAACCATAACCGCAATCCGCAATCCGTTGACAATGTAGACAATGCCCAGCCCAGGGCAATGTTGATGACAACGACGCACCTTTAACACTTTGCCCAGCGGCGTATCCATGCCGCCACATAGGCAATTTGCATAATTTTATGAGTCGCGCCAGCTCAGGGGCAGAACTACACTACGTTTTATTCTTCAATTGATGTTGAGCTGCATTGTAGCGCACAGACACTCGTTTTATTGCGCCTTAGCGTTATTGAATCGGGTTTAAGGCTGTGAAGGCTTTGCTATACAATCGATGCACAACACTTCTCTTGGGCCGTACTGATTATCATTTATAAGCCGCACTCTTAAGATTAGGCTTTATTGTTAATTTTATAGCGAATCGCCGATCTCGATTAGTTCGATAGCAAGTTCGTGCGCTTGCAACAGGTGTAAGTCCGCTCGCGATCGCGTGCACTCTCAAACTGGGCGCACGCGCAAAGCACACGAACGAAGCAAAATGTGGAACCTAACTGAGAGATGTGGATCTTGTCTGGCCGCGACTAGTTTACAAAAGCTATTTGCTACTAGGTGGCGCTAGTGATACCCTCTTATACTTCTTGGCAATCATTTAAATGCTTCAGCGCCGAATAACAAAAATAAATACAAACAAGAATGGGGTTTAGAAAAAACCACAGCTTAACTTGCAATCCAAAACCAAATATTTGTTTTATTTATTTTTGCTCGTTTTATTCGGCTATTTAGATTTTTGTGAAAGCAGCGAAAAGTATGCAACAGTATTTCCGATTATTATTTGTAGCCAAAAATACGAGTTTTATTTCCTCAATTGACAAGGAATCTTAATAATATAGGTCTAAATAATTATTTAGAACCACCTCAAATCTAATGGGTGGCAGTTGCGCCAATAATGGAACTGTGTTTCCTTTGAAAAATAATCATATGATATATGATCTCACGCAAAAAACACTCTTCACTCGTTTTTGTGTTAGTCATGGGGTATGAGAAGATAAAAGACTACACATAATTGCTTATTCTCGCCAGTAACTAATGAACATCTCAAGGTCACGTTCGGTGACTACGGGGCCATGGCGGTATTTGTAAGTCGGTCAGTGTGCAGTCGGCATCAAATGAGCAGTGCGATGCGATGGTCATTAAGGCAGACAATGCATTTATTACTTGAGCACATAATGCGGTCTGTAGGCTAATTAGTAGTTAAACGATGTGAGCGGAAATGCTAAGAATTTTTTCAGCTATTTGCCGCTTTGTGCAGAATGATTAATTGGATTTATATTATCAGCTGTGAAGTTAAAGGGCAGCGTGAGAAGTAAAGGCTCGCGGTGCCGCTACCAATACCTTTGCTGAATGAAATATGCAACTCTGTATGTATCAATGGTTAATATGTATGTATATTAATTGTAGGCGATGGGGAGTGCTTCCTGCTATCACAAAATCAATTTGGCTAATTGCAAGCATAATGGTCTCGTTTGTCGGCCCATTTGAGCAGACACTCTGACGCAAACGAGCCGAAACTAAAGCCAAATGATTGGCAAAAATGGGCAGACAACTTCTTGACACGCTATCCCAACGGCCGACACATTTATTAGTGAAATAAAATAACCCCCAAAGTGTCATCAAATCAATGCAAAGTAGCGAAAATCGAAATAAAGCAAAAGGGAATTGGAAAAGCGGAAACAAAGGCTCACAGCACACCAGACAAGGAGTAAGGGGCAAGGGGAAAACAAACTTTTTCGAGCAACATTTGCTGTTGGGCCCATTAAGGGACAGGGGCTGCGTGGAGGTAGGGCCGACGAAGTTCGATGTTACTGAACGAAAATGGGCAATTTTGTTGCTCATAAAGCGTCGTAATAATGGGAAAAGTTAGTGCCAAGGCACGCTAGGCATGTGCAGGACACAGGTGTGTCTCCTGTGCATAAAATAGTTTTGTTTGCAGGCTAATAGATTCTTATTGCTGTTGCTCTTCTGTTTTCTAGTCCTAATCAATAGACACTCCCCGGGGACTGTAGGATTTGCAGAAATAGCAAAAACAGATGCCAATGAATATTCACATTTGCTGTTGTTCGTTTGTTTTGTATTTCATTTGTACTATGCTTTAACAATTCACAACTAAACAATTTTTGATGCCTGAAGCATTTTTATCTGCCGCGCAAAAGTATGCTATGAAAAATTTACTAAGCGTTCAGGAAAAGAAACTGTAGCCTACGCGAAGTGGCTTTAACCCTTGAGCGATACACAAAGTGGTGACGAGAATTTTAAATGTTGAATAAAATCTAACCTGAACAGATAATTTTTGCGAGCTAAAAATAAATACAACTACAACATCTAAACGTATTCTGTGCTCTCGATAACTGACACTAGATTCTCGGCCATGTCGCAGAGTTGCGTGTATGTGTGAATATAGAGCGAGTCCCTGAAATATTTCTTGCTGCGCATCTTCTTAAGCACATAGAGTTCGGGCTGTTGTTGCTTCAGTTGTCGCATCCACGGCTTGGGCTCCTCGTCTTCATCGGAGGACAGCTCCTCGCCATTTTGCTTCTCTTTGCTCTCTTCGAGCTTGTCATAGAAGCGCCTGAGCTCCAACTTCAGTGAGCTCTCTTCCAAGGAAATAATCAAATCCTCCCATTCCTCTATGCCGTTTGCTATAGCCCCGCGCACATAAATGTAGCGCGATCGATCCCTTTCAGCATTGTGTTCGAACTTCTTCGATGGCAGGCCGTCGGTACTGCACTTAAAAGGCTCCAGCGACTCCATTAGCAGCTGAAAGTGAATCTCACGTTGGATTGGTTCGGGCTGGCGCATGATTAACCTTTTGAGTGAGTCCAATCTGAAGTCCCATTGCGGCTCACGGGGCTTCTTCAGAATCCTGTACAAGTTTTTCAGATGCTCCAGATCGTCGAACCGGTCGCAATGGTATCCCAAATTCTCTGCATTGAATATCTCGCGCTCGTCAAACACCCGCTCGTATGGACACAACACCTCGTGTGGTTGAATGAGTGGCGTGAGCTCTGCATGTAGCGCTCCGAGCTTATCCATGGCGGTCTTATTGGATTTGTCGATGACGCTGCTTTGCAGATGGTTTGTCTTGCGCACGTACTCCTCCGGCGGAGTGCATTTTCCGATCAGACGTACAACTAGCGAGTCGCGATGACCACAGAAGATTTGAGGAAATATTCGCAGCTCCCAACGCTCCTTAACGAGGCAGACGCGACGTGGTTGGAACACTACATTGGTCACATGCACATCGCCCGCCCGGAGCACAAAGTTGGCCTTGTCGAACAGGAATGTGTCGTTGCCGGTCGCCAGAAACTGTGAGTTTCTCTTATGGTAGGCCGTTCGGCGCCACTTGCAAATGATCACTTGATGGCCAATGTTCTCGAATCGCAGCACCTGCTTCAGCTGTCGATGGTAGGGCTCGCACTGGAAATTGATGGGCACGTCAATGTTCTGTGCACTGCGCTTATCATTCATGATGAATATTTCATTGTTGATCTTAATGCCAGCCGCAATGGAGGGCTTTTCCAATTCTATTTTATGGGACGACTCCGTTTGGCTTCTCTCGCTCCCCTCTTCCTCAAACTCCATGGTAGTGCTGCTTATAGTGCGAAATGAATTGAGCTCTTCAGCCTGCACTTGGAAAACGTTTGGGTCCTTTAATATATTCTGACCGACCACTTCAAGGTGTTCGGCATCGGGAAAGAATTCCAGAACTCGTTTGATATCCCTGTGCTCCCGCTCGATACGTTGCTCGAGTGCTCTCGAGTTCATCCATTTAGTTCGTTGTTTTGAGTGCTTTTCTTCATATTCCGCAACTGGACCCATTATCTCGTCCTTGGTTGTGGTTGTGAGGCCGCTAATTTCCACCTCGGCTTCACCTTTTTGCTCGGCTGTTGGCAAAGTCTCCCGCAACTCATTCATAAACTTGCACTGCTCGCTATTGAAATGTCCGGGCAGCACTGCAACCTGCTTGCCCTTTAATGCCACGGGATTCAAGCGCGTGGCAACGTCCATGAGACGGTTTACAGTACCCTTGTCCCGTTGCTCGACTGTTGTGGGTAGATTGAAGAGCATCTCTCCAGGTCTCTTGCCAGTCTTGCGCCATATCTTTAGCTGAACATCTAGGCGATCTGTTAACGTGTCTTCCCACAGTTTCAGACGCTTGTCCATTTTAATGGACTCCCTTATGCTGCTCGTGCTGGAACATCCCGTGCTGGAATCTGGAACTCCCGCCTTTTCCAGTCCCACTTGTTCGTCAAAAATTTGCTCGACAATGTCCTCAATAATGCGACGCCCATAATGCTGTGTGACTTCCTTAAGCTCACCGGTTTTCATGAAAATGTCCTCAGTGGAGGACGACTTGATGAATGCCGTGTTATCGGTCGATGGTGTTTTTTTCGGATTGACCACAGCAAGAAATGATATGTTTTTCGACTTTTCAGATAGCCGCGTGAACCTGAGACTGACCATTGTTGCAGAAATAAATTTGTGTAGACTAACTAAATAAGTGATTGTGTATTTAGTTCTGTATTGTGCTCGTTGTTCAAATAAACTGGACGACTAACAAAAAGCCTACCAAACCTCCGTACTTTCAATTACAGATACAATGTCTTCAGCCACGCTGCAAAGCTTGGTGTAAGTATAGATATAGATCGTATCTTTAAAGTACTTGGAGTGCGTTACTTTTTTTCTCGTCTTTGCGTTCATTTCCGCACTGCCCTCCCATTGCACAGCCTTACTGAAGCCGTTCCTGATCATGTCTCTTAGATCGGAAAAGGACATGAGTTTCTCTTCCTCTTCAATGACGGTGTGCAGGCTTTGACGTTGCAAGGCCAGTTTGAAGAGTTTTCCCTCCAGTGCAAAAATGTGGCTCTCCCACACTTCGATGGCATTGCTGATAAGGCCGCGCACATAGATGTATCTGGAGAGCTTTCGCTCTAACAACTGAAGACCATCATCGTTATATTGATTGTCGGTAGCACAAGTGCGCATACGCGCCAAGACTAGCTGCAGTTCCTCAAAGTACGCCATTCGCTGATCCAGATCGGGCAAGTCACATATTGACGCAATAAGCGTTTGGGCACTCAAGTCCCATTTGGGTGCAGCGCTTGAATTGTTCACGCTATTAAATATCTGCTTTAGAATTTCAAGGTCGTCATAGCTCTTGCAGTAATACCCTTTGTTGCACTCATTGAACATCTGCCGCTCTTCCGGCTTGACTTGACGATGATATAGACATGGAAATGTCCTTGGCGTTGGCACGAACCGTTTGCAATTGCGTTTAATGTTCTTTTGCACCAGATTAGATACTACTGCAATTTTTTGGTCAAGAATTTGGGTATATTCCTCGGGGGGCGTACACCTACCATGCAGATACAGGTTAAAGCCAGAGAGGCGTCGATTTTTGATACGACGGCCTATCAAGAGCAACCACTTCTGCTTTACAATGCACACTTTACGGGGCTGGAAGAGAACACGCACTAGACGCACCTCGCCTGGCCGCAGCATAAACGGTTCTGTATCCATTACAAACTCATCGTCCAGGGTGTCCATTAAAGTGCCGTTGTATGCGAAGAACTCCTGACGCAACCAGCACAGACTGAACACTTTATTGCCATTGTTCTCGAAACGCAACACCGGACGCAAAAGTCGCTCGAAGGGATTGCAACAGAAAAGTCGTTCAACGAAGGGTGCATTTTCCGCCCCCACGTCCTTGTAAAGGGTACCGTTAATGTAAAGGCCAGCGGTCTTACCTTTCGAGGCACGCGATGCATAGCTTTGTACGCTGAAAAACTGTTGTAGCTCAGGACACGACTCTTCGGATTGACTTGATATTGAATGTAGGGAGAACAGCTCTCCGGCACGGCTAAACGTCGATTTGGTGCCCACGACCTGCAGTTTCTCGAAGTCGGGAGGACAATTCAGTACCCGTTTTATGTGAGGGATTTGTTTCCGTAGGTGATGATCAAGCGCCTGCGACTGCAGCCAGGGATTTTTAGTTGCGCCTTGATCTTTCTCTTCTCCCATCATCTCAGTAATTGTGTGCTGGGGCATGCCAACAAACTCGAAGGCTTGTCCTTTTTGCATACTGGGCCCAGTAGAGGATATTTTCGCGTGCTCAAGGACCCGCTTCATGGTCTCCTTTTCACGATTGTCGATGCTTGAGATGCGATTGAAGAGAATGTCTTGGGGTAGCTTGCCAGTCGCTAGGCGCAGCTTTTCCTGCAATGCACGTCGCTCTCGCAGCACATCTTTCCAATACTGAAGTCGTTTATCTACGCTGTACTGGGATGAGCAGGAGGGGTTAGCCGCTGAGTCTTGCGAGCTGGTCTCAAAGTATCTTCCATCCTCATGATCAAAGATGCCGTCTGCGATTTCGTAGACCAGTTGCTGGGGGTCTTCCTCATTTATTAATTTGTCCGTATTATCATCGTCAACTACGAAGTAATTTAGTTTTGAAGGAGTTGTAACGTGCGTTTCAGAGTTGGAGGGCGACCTTTTGCTGTCATATGCAATGAACATGGTGGGTTCTCGTGTGTACTTCGAAAGATGTGTACGAATATTTATTTGACATAATACAGAAAATGATAAAGCAGGCAAAGATGTCGGGGGTAATTTTATATTATCCCACCAGCGGATGAATCATTGAATAGAACTGGTAGTAGTACTGTTGGTTGCGGCTCAGGTGGGAACTATTTCAGTACTTTCGATCACTGACACAATATTCTCGACAATATCGCACACATGGGTATATGTGTGTATGTACAGGGCATCCCGAAAGTACTTGGAGTGCCTCAGCTTCTTTAGAACCTCCGCTGTTATCTTTTCGCCGTCCATTTCCAGGATGTCTTCACCATCTCCAATTACTGAGTTGTTCTTGATTTTTGTAATCAGTTCCTTTGTATATGCGTGAGTGCCTGGTGGCTGGTTATCCTCATCCTCATCGTTTTCCTTTCTCTCTTCCTCCTGCAGCAGTCTTATGTAGTAGCGCTGCAATTCAGGTTTGAAAAATGTCTCCTCTACGGCAGACATAAGGTCCTCCCAGTCCTCGATACCGTTGCAAATGACGCCACGCACATAAATAAGGCGTGTCTGCTGTTTCTGGGCATCTAACTGGCAAACGGCTTCCAGGCTAGGTGCCGATCCTTGCAATGTTAATAATACTTCCATATACGTTTCGAACATTTGCGAGCGATCCTCTCTATTCTCAATGCGTAAAATGAAGCCCTTTATGGTTTCAAGGCGAAGATCCCAGTGCGGCTCTCGTGGCTTTTTCAACTGCTTGTGCATGGTCTTGAGCGTCTCCAGGTCATCAAAGCGAACGCAGTTGTACCCAAAATTGAGAACATTGAACAGTTCCCGCTCATCCAATGTGCGATCGTATGGACAGAACACCTCCGATGGCCCGATAAGAGGCACTAAAGATGCTTGGTGCTGGGTTATGTTCTCCATTTCGCCTAGATTTGATTTCCATATGACCGTATCGCGCAGCTCGTTGAGTCTGTTTAAATATTCTCTGGGGGCCGTGCACTTGCCATAAAAGCGCAGTTGCAGCGATTCTTTGCAGCAGCACAGCACCGGGGGCTCTACATTCAGATGCCACAGCTCCACTGCCACGCCGACTTTACGCGGCTGATACATGACCACCAAGTTGTATGTCTCGCATGGCACTAGACGGAAGCTGGAGGTGTCGAAGAAAAATTCGCCATCTCGTGCTACCAGGAGCGAGGCACGATTGTAGAAATATACGCCCTGTTTCCAGGAAAATGAGAGAGTCTGTTTGCCTATGTTGGTGATCCTTAGGACGTGTTTGGTGCGGCGTTGAAATGGATCGCACTTAAATCTGCTGGTCAAATCGGCGCATTTCAAAAGGCTTGGATCGCCCAGAACATAATCTTTGCCGTTGACACTCATGCCCACCTGGGGGACCACTATCGGTGGTGTTGGTTCTGTGATATCGCTATACGATTCATAGACGCACTCCTCGCTGCACGGCTCACAAGGTGTGCTGGAAATTGTGTGTAATTGCTGCTCACCCAGGAATTCAATGTTGGGCTTCGGCTTAAGCTTAGCATAGTTTGTGCCCGTCACCTGTAGCTTGTTTAAATTGGGAAGGAACTCGACCACTTTGGTAATATCACCGAAGCGATGGTCGAGACGCTTATCCAAGAATTTGGACTGCAGCCAGGTATTCCTCAGTCCATACCCAGCGGCCTCACTGCCCAGAATCTCCTTTTGTGTTACACCTGGCAGTCCCGAAATTTCAAGGTGCTTATGCCCTACGCGCTCGGCTTGTGGCCAAGTCTCCCTTACTTGCTCTAGCTCAGCACACGTACATGGATCTTCTAATTGCGTTAAGGTTGCGATTCGCTTCCCCGTCAAATTCTCGGGACGCATGCGCTCAGCATAGTCCAAAATGCGTTTGACAGTCTCCTTGTTGCGATCCTCGAGGGTTGTGCGTCGATTGAAAAGCACTTCCTCGGGTTTTTTGCCAGTCTGAGTTTCAATTTGACTCTGCAATTGCCTGCGTTCAGCAAGGACTTGGCGCCAATATTTCAATCGCTTGTCCACTCTCAGCTCTGGCTCGTGACTCTCTACGATGCCACATGCTGACGATGTCTCCTGTATGTAGCCTCGCTGCTCGGCAAAAATCTCACTAAGTAAGTCTTCAATGATGCGCTCACTATAATGTTTATCAACTTCTTTCAAGCAACCACGCAAATAAACATCTTCGGTGGTAGTGGATGGAAAGGAAAGTAAATTGGTCATAGAAGCGTTGCTGAACTTCGGCTCTAGGGTCAAGCTGAAACCCTTTCGCGACCTTCTATGGTCAATTTGTGTTTGATGTTTCTCCATTTGTCTTTGAGTGGTTTTTATTTATATTTGTTAAAGTATAATGAAACAAATTTACTGTGTGTCCTTGTAACAAAATATATGAACTTGTTGACAGATCAGTTCGCCAGCTCTCAATCTTTCAAATGTGGACAGTGCTCTCTATGACAGAAACAATGTTTTCAGCAGCGTCGCAGAGTAGGGTATAGCTTTGAACGTACAGCGAGTCTCTGAAATACTTTGAGCTTTTCAACCTTTTCGATATAAGTGCTGAAATAGCCTCAGCATCCAGCCCCTCAGTTCCCGATTCCTCTTCCAGTGCCGTTAATTCGGCCAAATACAGTTTGAGTTCAGTTCTGAAAAACTGACTTTCCAGCTCGATGGCCAGTTTCTCCCACTCCTCGATGGCACTGCCAACCACTCCACGAACATAGATGAATCGGGTGCGCTGCTGTTCTGGATTGGAGTCCAATCTCTTGAACATATCGTACTCGCCACATTTCATGGGCTGCAGCAGTGTGAGTAGAAAGTCATTAAAAACCTGGCGTTGTTCAACGCCCTCTCGGCGCAAAATAAACTCCCGGAGCGTTTCGATGCGAAAGTCCCAAGCAGGCTCGCGGGGTTTCTTTAGAGCAGAGTGCAACTGTTTCAGCATTTCAAGATCATCATAGCGAGTGCAGATGTGTCCCGGGTTCTGGGCATTGAACAGCTCGCGCTCATCAAAGATGCGTTCGTAGGGACAGAGGAGGAAGGGCGACTCGATTAGCGGAGCTATGGAACCCTGCAGTTGGGGAATACGTTCGAGCTCCATCCAGTTCGATTTGTCGTATATATTTCGCAGATTCACGTCCACTTGCTCGCGAAAAGCCACGGGTGGTGTGCAGAGTCCGTGCACGTGTACAATGAAGCTGCATCCGCGACAAAACATAGCTTGTTCTATACACATGCGCCACTTGGCCTTGAACAGTCCCACACGTTTCGGCTGGAACATCACATCGAAACGGCGGATCTGCTGTGGATGCAGCACGCATTTGGTCGAATCAAAAACAAATTCGTCATCCACGCTGTTGACGGAAGCATGTTCCTTGTAGTATGGCAAGTACTTGCAACTAATAAATAGGGGTCTCTCGCCTATGTTCTCCAACTCCACTAGGGTCTTTAAGGTTCGCTGGTAGGGGTCGCACTGGAAGAATAACTCTTGCTCGGCCATCAACTTGCTGGTTTTCTCATCGATTCTGAATGTGCGCCCATTGATTTTGACGCCATAGCTAGGCGTGTAAGCAATTTCGAATGGAACGCTGGGCTCCTCGAGCTCCTCCATCTCCTCGATCTCTGGGGACATCGGACGAATGGACGTATCATCCGATATGCTGAAGAGCTTATCTTCGCCGATGCACTTGATCGCGTCCACCTTCGAGTGATGCACGTGGGTTGGGGTAACTTGTAAATTGTCAATGTCGGGGAAAAACTCCAACACCCGCTTCACATCGTGCTTCTGCAGCCTGTGTGCCAATCGCTCGCTTAGCAACCAGTTGCTGGGCGCCTCATTACTAATTGCAGCCAGCTCTAATTTGGCGAGCGTTGGAAGGCCCATGAACTCCAGCTGGTTAGGGCTAGGCAGAGTTTCCAGAACTGCATGCATTGGGGTGCAAAGCTGTGGATGGCAATGAGGCTTGAGCGAATCGGCCGCTTTAGCGGCTTTTGTGTCAGCATTGCTATGCTGGGCGTGATCGAGAAGCCGCAGCATCATCTGCTTGTTGCCCACATCGATGGTTGAGGGTCGATTGAAGAGCACGTCTTCGGCTCGCTTCCCTGTCGATAGCTGTATGCGTTTCTGTAGCTGTTTCCGTGCATACAGGGTTTCCATCCAGCTTTTGAGGCGACGATCCATGCCATCGTTAAGTGCATCCGATCGCCATTCGCTGGGGCACTCGGAACTGCTGCGGTCATGGAAGCCACGCAGCTCTGTTGGTATATTTTTGATAATGTCCTCGACCGCACATTCGGCCAAATAAGGGGATACGTTCTCAAATGAAAATTCGGATTCGCGAAATGCTTTGCTTGCGGTGAGCAAATTGATTTCGTGCCATTGGGAACCAACGGCGACATTTGGGGAAAACTTGAATGACTCGAATCTGCTGGCCGTGTTATATCCGTAGGTATTTTCTTGATGCCTTATGGAACCAATAGCTATATTTGAGGAAAACTTGGATGGTTCGAATCTGCTGGCCATATTTCATCCGAAGTTATTGTCTCGATTGTCTTGTTTCCTTATTTTTACCTTTGCTTGCCTCTAAACTCATGTAAATGACTGAAATGTCAGCGCTAAGTCGCTTTTCTGTATTGTTTTCAAGGCACATTTCTGAGTGCGTGCTCCGCAGTGCTAAATAACCGAAAATGCAATTTACGAGCTGGTCCTTGTCCCCGCTAGCACGAGTATGAAGAAATGCATTGCATGTGCGCTAATTTGCTAATAATCCACACAAAACTTAACCCTACACTGCCCCATTACAATAAGCGCCCGCATGTGTGTGACAAGTCGTCGTAATTCTCATGAAATTTTCGTTGGTTTTTCATTTGGCGCTGTGGCAGCAACTGGATTAGCATTTCCAATGACATTGACGTGCGGCATTCCCACAATTCAAATACTGGCTTTGGCGGCTTGCACATAAAAGTGAAAGGAGTTGGGCTCCAAAGACAAAAACTTACCTAAAACGAAAGAAGGGAGAAATAAAATTGATTTATATGTATGTGAAAAATGAGGAGCAACAAAAAATTGTGTTTCAGACCTAACAGACCTGTTAGCTGTTATTTATTAGGCTAGTTGGAATTATGGTTGGTTGGCTCGTTATTAAATTTATTTGTGTGTTTATTGAGGCCATTGCACCTAAAAGCTGAGCAAGTTTTTATTTTTAGGAATATTCTGCCCAAGCTATATGTTCTTAAATGCAAGAATAAAGCGCTATTTGTAGGAGTAGGAGGAGAGGCAAGTTCTAGAAATCGTCGTTATAATTAAGAAGATTTAATTTCTAAAACACATGAGATGCGCTTTTAGGCGAAAAATATCATTATAGATTGGCCCCAGAATCTGAAAATCTTGAGAAAATGTATGTTGGTCTGTAGGAATCAGAGTCAAGGTGCCCTAAACGTGCATAGAATATTCGAACCTTCTAAACTGCGGCCCCCAAATGCATGAACAGTTTTTCAGCACAATACGAGTATGTTTTAGGCATATGTTTGAATATTTACTTGTGTACGGATACTAACAATCTTTCCATCATCAACATTACATCACCGTTTAACAAATCCAAGAACTGACTTGTGGACAGTGGCTGCGATGTGAAGATTGAAGTGCAATTTGGAATTAAAAGCAGTATACGACCTTGTATCCATTTAATTAATTTAAGCAATTAAATAATAAAGGGGGATACGGCAGAACGAATTCATCATCTCCTGTCTGTGTTTCTGTTCACAACATGTGCAGCAAATTCATTTTAAACAAACTTTCCAATATTTATGGAAGGTAAGATAGGTCAGCCAATTATAATACAAGCTACTTATGTATGACTTGACTAGATGAGTCATATTCAGCAACCTCGCCAATGGTTGTGACACGCATCCTGTAAATACATCAAGTGTTTCATCGTCATCATCGCACATCAAATAGTTGCAAGAAACATCATTATTTAGCCACCGGAAAATGTCATTCAACAGAAGCTCTTCCTTCCCCATGAAGAGTGGTTTTTAATAGCTTCTTTTATTTTGTGGCGACCTGTCCGCACAGCGCAATTGTATACATGCATCAATATGCAAATAAAACTATATCAATTACCTTGGAAGGAAAAGAAACTAAACAAAGTCAAGTAATTGGGCACAAAAGTTAGAGTCCTGCAAAGCCAACTAACCGCAAGAGGAAGCACGGCTGGGTAGGAGAGACGACAACGATATCGGTGTGCGGAAATGCTCGCCGGTTGCATTGTTAACAATTTCAATTCCTATCATTATTATTATACATAGTCGAGTGAGTCTGTTGTGTATGTTTTTATTTTGTTCTTCGTCTACGTGCCGCTGGCAAACAATCAGCCCACATACGAGCATGCCCCAACACAGGCTGTTGCGTGTATTGCCATTCAGAAATACTATTCGTATATATTGTATTGTGCATATATCCACATGCATATTGGGAACGTGCAAAAGATGCAATACGAAACTGGAGCTGGAGCTGGAGCTCTTTCTGTATGCACTTAACGGCCGGGCAGACAAAAACAAAACAAGCGACATTGTTGCGGCTGTTGCTGTTGCTGTTGCACTTGATGCACGAAACAGAGCGACGCGCAACGTGCAACAAGCACTGAAATCTGAAATCTGGCAGCAAGTGCTGCACTTTGATTTTCATTTCCCATGCACTCAAGTAACGCATTTATTATTTAGCAGGCGGAGATTGAGAGGAGCTGAAGCTGAAGCCAGAGTCGGAGTTGGAGTCGGAGTCAGAGACTCAATTGTGCAGACTCACGCTGCAGTTGTCAACGGCAAAGAGACTTGCGAGACGAGCGCGACTGCTGCTGCTGCTTCAGCTGCCTCATGTTGCATACCACTTGGTGGTGTTGACGGGCAGCACCGACGCACCAACTGACAATGACGAGGACGCCGCCGCCGCCGACGACGCCGACGAGGCGACGTCAACTGTTGGCGCTTGTCGAGTGAGGACATCAGACAAGAACCGTTGTCGTTGTTATTGCCGCTGTACCATACAAGTATAAGAAGAATTGCAATTTATTTATATTTTTTGTCTGGCTGCGCATGCAAATTGAAAACTATGGAAAATTGAGTTGCTTGGACGGGTGTTAGAGGACAACTCGCAAAACTCGCTATTCTTTGAGTGCGCATGCGAGCTGCTGAGGCTGTAAAAATGCGCACATTATTTGTCATAAAGGAGGCCAAATTCATTGAGATGATGTGGTCGGACAAGTGGCGGCCACTTGGCCATTACGTTGGCGCTGGCGCTGGCGCTGGCGCATGCGCTCGACACCAACTCTGTGGCCGTAGCGTGTGGCCATAAAAGTGCGTTAACGGCAACTGCACTTTAATTGAAAACCGTTAGAGTTGAGTTTCGAGATGTTGGGGCAGCTCCGTGAGCACAAAAGTTACTCAATCCGATCTGAATGAATTTTTGCCTCCACTTAATTGGCACGCAATTTGTGCGATCGGATGGAATGCGCTGTCAAATCAAAGCACTTAATTAAAAGTTATTGACACAAAACTGCTCGCGGGCAGCGTTTAATTGCATAAGCTTGTTCCCAGACCGCAACAGAGCAACCAACTTGTTGCCCACAAAGCCGTGCGGCACTCAACCGAAGATTGACAGAAACTGCACTTGAAAGTTGCGGCTCAACTTTAGCCATTATATATACACACACATATATATAGGAGTATATATGTACATAGATGGGTGTTCCCTCCTTACCTCACTTCGGCCGATTTGATAATCGCCTTGGGTGGCGCATCCCAATAGTTGGGTGCTGGCGGCACCCATTGTCGTAGCACTTGATAATTCCCCTCGAGCAGGGCCATGCCCTCGATGACTTCCTCATCCGATTCGGCATCGTTGCCTGCGTTGCTGCTGCTGTTGTTGTTGTTGTTGTTGTTGCTGCTATTGTTGGTGTTGTCAGTGTCAGCGTTTAGGTTATCAACGGATTCGTTCATGATCTTCGTGCCCCTCTCCGGACTTTCCAAAGTAAATATTGTTGCACAGCCTTCGCGGGCATTTATGCTGACTCACAGATAAACGCACACACACATACACTCCTCTTGGTGAGAGGAGACACAAAGATGTTGCGCACGCATGCCGAACGAAGAAAAAAAACACACACACACACGCACACACACAAAGAAGTGACTAAGACGCTGGCCGTGTGTGTGTCACACAGGAAGAAGAGGAAGCAGCCAAACAACAACAAAAGTCTGCTGGCAACATGAACAACAAATTGTCGGTTTTTTCCGTTTTATTAATTTTGATTGCACAGAAAACGCGCGCTTTTTTCCTGGAATTCTAGCACCTCTCTGCTTTCACACAATATATTTTATTTATTAACAAATGTGATTATTATTTATAAATTTTGAAGTGGCACGTAAAACCCCGAACGGCAACACTTGAAGCGCAGCGCTCACGTTGCAATCACGCGTTGTTTCTTTCTAATCGGCGAAAATGCTCGTTGCGTTTGTTTTGGCACGAAAATTGACAGCAAGAAGAAGCAGCAGCAGCAGCAGCAGTAGCAGCAGCACGGCGAAAGTCTCGTACAAAGCGCATGAAATGGAAGAGGAACACACTCACACACACACACATACATACAGACACACTCGAATACAGTCAGAGCCGCTAAAACACGCTCAGGAGGGGTTAATATCTGGCGTTTGCATTTTGCATCCCTTGTCGTGCGCTCCTTTGTGTCCAGACACAAATACACATACATACACGCGTACAATGTACATTTGTATGTATGTATGTGTGCATGTATGTATGTGTGCATGTATGTATGTGTGCATGTATTCACGTGCACGTCCCCCTTTGTGGTGAGTCCTTGGTCTTCGGTTGTTTCTCTGTTTCAGTTTTGTGTGTCTCGATATTCTTACGTATTCGTATATGTATAGTGTAAAAAATAAGGGTTTGTAATTTAATGTTTTTATGTCTGATTTCGTTTTCATACTCTCCTTCTCCTTCAGCCCACTGCAGCGCCAGGGGGCGGCAAGCTGTTCAGTGCACGCATATTGTTGAAATTATGTTTCCAAAGAACTGGCTGCACCGTGCAGCACGCTGAGAACAGGCAGGAAGGCAGGCAGGCAGGCAGCAAGGCTGGCAGGGTGGTGGGTGCGAAGGTGTTGCTGCTACGGTGTGTTCACCTTTTAAGCACTCGAACTGAGCACAGTGGGTCGGCTAAGGATTCGATAGCCCTGATTTGGATAGACAGTAAAGCTTGTAGTTGAGTTTCGGGTACAATACAATACATGGCTGATCAATTGAACAATGCTAAGTACAGTATGTGATTCCGAAGAGAAATATGTAAGAAAGACATAAATGATGTCTAACAAAATTATAATAGCATGTAAAGCAGATTTAAGCTACACTTTACAATTGCAATATACATTCATGGACAAAATAATAGGTGTATTTATTTTTGTTAAATATAAACACACTTGAGCACGAAAACAATAGTAAAAGCCTTTCAACAAAAATTGTAATAAATATTGAATTTTTGTTATTTATGGTCCCGTATTTTACTGAACTAATTGGGACGCACTTAATAGCCTGAATATCGGCCATTATTCCTGACGAATTTTTTTTGATTCCTGCAGACATAAAGGATACCAACATCTGACAAATCTTTACAAGAATGTTAGACCAATATTTTCCCATAACACCTACAAATTCATTGGCAGATCAATGGGATGGTATGTACATATTCATATCTCAGATGAAAAGCCATTGTTATTACCTTTAATATTAAGTTAATTTTAGCCAATATTTTGTTTTTTTTTTCGCATACATAGAAAAATAGATAAATAAAATATTATATGTATTTATGGCCCTGCGACAAGTCTTGTTCCGGTTCACAGCCAATTTTTACACAGAGCTACCAAATAATATAAAATGATAAAAAATATACCCATGAAGAAGGGGCAGAAAAAACACCTTGCTAAGTCTTAATAAATGTGTACATATGTACAAATATTTATTTTAAGCATTAACTGTATATTTATAATAGCTACTATCTTATTGAATTGAGAAGAACACATTTTATGTTTCAATTGGACACCTACAAAATGTTCTTATTGGACCGGTCATATGGTTTTTTTCCCACTGTGCTCAACAGTTTTGAAAGTCCTTGGGCGCAGAAAAAGTCTGCGGCCACGATCCCCGTGAACTCACTGCCAGCAGCACTCTCCACAAATACAACGACCGCAGCCTTTTATGGCTACTCACTCACACTCACACACGCGTACAGGGCAGCACAACGAACCCCAAAATAACAGTTTACGATGGAAAGAAAGAAAAAAAGGAAGGAAGGAAGGAAACAAACGCTCGAACGTATGCTCATATTTTGTTACAAACATTTTTCATACTGTGTGTGTGCTGAGGACATCAGCAAGTTTGCATGTGTGTGAATGTGTGTGTGAGCGCCGCACGCTCACGTGTGCAGTTCGCTCTCTATTCTCTCTCTCTCTCTCTCCCTTCGACTCTCTTGCTTGCTCTTTGTGCATGTGTTGCAGATTTGGAGAGCACTGTTTTTAATTCACTCAGTCAATTCGAATTTGAATTTGAATTTCGTTTGTAGAATTCACCCCTAAGCGTCTTCACGGTAATTTGAACACGTGCCGAGCACTAGACCATGGGAGTGGTACTAGCACTGGCACAGGGACTGAGTGTTGCTGTAGAGAGTTCGAATAGTATTTAGTCCTGGCGCCATTGTGCATTTAGTGTACTGGGAGCTGGCTGGTCGACAAAGGGGTTGCTTCAGCGATACGACGAGACACAACCAGACAGCGACCCGATCGTAAATTTTTATGATATGCAAAGCCGTCACTTTGTCCGTTGGAGGATTGCCTATGGCAGCAGGAACGCAATTAGCGCATAAGTTACACTAGTTGATATTTGCGCCCTGGCGCTCAACACAAATACGGCTGCAACCACCATCGCCACCACCCTCCGGCGCCGCCAAGTATGCACTGCACTCGTAAAAACAATCAACTTGGCAACACTTACGAGCCCCTGGGGAATTCAAAACGCTAGCCCCAGTGACGCCTCTTGCATATAAGTATGCACACACATACATGAATTTGTATGTATGCCAGAATGGAAAGTGAAATTTGTTTTGTTGTGACGTCAAAGCCTTGGTTTGGTTTCGGTATTTAATGTGCAAACAGCTAACACTGGCCGCCAGCAACCCATGCCACCTGAAATGTTGCTTTTGTTGCTGTTGCTACTCGCAGCAACAAACAAACTGCGTCGTTTGGCGAATCAACCCTGCGGAGACAGATCAGACTCCTCGACGGCCTGACCGCCCATTTGGCTATGAAAACAACAACAAATACTATGTGTGGAGTCAGCTTAAAGGGGGGACGGGGCAACACTTCAACAGCCGCACACAATTTCCGCTACAACAACAGCCTGCATCCGTTCGAAACATTAAAGACATACTCTAGTATTCTGCAGTTGGGCGTCTGCCATGCAAATCAGCCAACAACAGTTGTTAGGGCTAGCCTGCAATTTTTAATTAAAATGCCACGCGGCTGAGGATGAGTCTAGGCTTCCGCAACATGTTGCTGCAACATTTGGGAGCAGACTAGCAACTAAGTTATGTTTAATTTTATTTACTTATTCATGGCATTAATAGAACAGTGAAAAACCTGAATGATTAGAAAACAGCAACCCCCTCGAAGAAAATGGCACTCCACTCTTCACACAAACACAGTCAGGAAACATTCCTTCTGCTGATATAAGCGAGGCATAAAAATAATTATATAAGCTTTATGCCCGTGCCGTCTGGCGTTTCTTTGATTGCTAACCGGCCAAACATTTCCACCCTCGCTAATGTCGTTTCATCAGCTACGCCCACGCGCCGCCATCGCCCAACAACCGCAAAGGTTGCACAACAACCAAGCCAGCCAGCGGTATAAACAGAAACAGGCGATCCCAACACTCACTTCGAATATGGACCCAGTCAGTCTGTCTGGGGGACTGACTTGTTTTGGGTCGGTTTTAACATGATTTGTAGGATTTAGAAAGATTTCCTAATTCTATTTTTTAGCAATTGCCTTGGGGTTGTTTTCAGTTGCGGGTTCGTTTTCACGAATACTCGTATGCGTGTGTCTGCCCGAATATTTTGGAACTTTTCGTGTTACAGAACTTCGGCATTATTTCAGCCTGCATGTTTTTATTGCAAATTATTAGCGACGTCACAAATTGAGGCAAGTTATTATTTCAAGCTATCTCTCTCTGTTCCTCCACTCCCTCTTTCCCACAATTACCAGCAACAATTTAGTCATTTATGATAAAAATAAAAAAAAGATTGTGAATGATTGGTTCATTTCCCCCCCACAGCATAGTGCGTGTAATTTCCAAGTTTAATGAGCGGCAACTAGACACGGCTTTTACGTCTATTACCTCGCTTACTATCTTGACATGGCACTTCGTTTTTCATTAGCGGCTCTTGCCTTTTTTCTTCTTAGCACTTCATTGCCGAGCCAAGCGCTCGCGCTGGCGCTCGCTATTAGTTTGCCGCATGACTTTGATATGCCATTGTCAAGTCGAACAATTTAGCCTAAGCTCTTGCTGATTTTTCACATATTAGGCCAACGTTATGGCCAAATGAGGTGGGAAAACTTGAGGTAAAGGCGACCACACAGAAGCGTCTCACAAAAAATGTGATGAGCATGAAACCTTCATTTTATTTCTCGTGCTGTTTGTTTTATTTTGTTTTTTTTTTTGGGGTTTTTATGGTATGGCTAGGTTCAGTTAGGATTGTAGGTCGTTACACTCAAGCCTCAAGTCTCAAGCTGTGCAAAATACGAGTACGCGACCTGAACGGGGCCACATGCAAATGCTCAAGACGGAGAGACGGAACCACAACTTCCTTGGTGAAGCGAGCCGTTTTGTTTACTTAAAGACTTTCTTCACAGAGTTGCCGATTGCCACATGTTGACGAAAT